ACTCCGAAGACGAGCAGAGCGATCTTCTCGAATTTCACCTAATAGTGCCAGCACATAAGAAGTATCTATAGAAGTTCTAAAGATTAATCGCTCAAGTCCTCACTTTCTGTCGCTAGTTTTCTCAACTTCCGCAAGTGGTATTCGGTAGCAATGAAGCGGAACCTGCTCTTCATACATGAAAAATGTGCGGCTTTTTTTCGCACTTGAACGGTAGAAGGCAATAGCTTCATTCACCTAAACCACAGCATACTATGGTATGGACTTGTATAAAGTGAAGTCCATAAGTGGGACAATGGGTACAATTTGTACAAGCAAACTACCTTCTCTATAGGTACCTCTACATCTCCAAAAGTGACTGTAGCTGCTCTTCTAGCTCCTATGGAACTTTCTTCATCGCCATCATCAGGTGACCAGAGGGGATCCGTATGGTCGTCCTCTACGAAGCTATCTTCCTCGCAGTCGATTACAAGGTTGTCGTACAGTGCGTCGCGCAAAATAGAAGAGAAGCTCTCTGCAATTCTCCTCTCTTTGCGGGATAGTGGATCGAACAATATCGCAAGATCCGAATTCTTTCACTAGTTGTGATAGCACCAGAGTAGGGTCGAACATTTCTTCAGTCATGGTAGGCACAGTCGTAGAGCAGTGCTGATAAAGTGAGCTTGGGTGTACCAGAGATGACGAAATCCTTCGTTGGCCACACACGTCATCCTATAGGATGGTGAAATCTCTCAGTACACGTGCTTCAAGCAGGTATGCATGTGATTCGGTCCATTGCTTGAGCGAGTTAGGTAAAAGTGTTATTTTCCACCGAATCAATTCGCGGGGCTCAATAAAGAGCAGGAAGGGGTCTTGATGGTCGTACAGGTATGCAAAACTGCTTCTCATGTGTTTAGCACACGTTTCAAGAAAAAGAAAAACTACGATCTACCAAATGAATCAAGGATCCGAACCCCCGTCCCACCATCATGAGTAAATTCACTTACCTGCTGCGCCATCGAGCCACGGTGGCGGATGAATCACGAGGGGTTTACAAGCGAAAAGCATGGGCAGGGGGGCCGCCGCAATGGTTAAGCACGGTAGCAAAAAAGGTCCGTAACTTCTCACCCAGAATCGTTTAGCAGATTTGGAAGTCAGATCTGATATCAGCGTCCGAAGACGCTTCTAGGAGTATACATCTCATTCTGAATGGCCAGGACGAGTTGGTATCCTTCCCTGTCAGTGGAGCACTGAAAGAGCGGAGAACAGATGAAGCTCCGACCCCAAGAAAGATCCTTTTCACTCACTCAGACCCTCCAAGAGGAAGAATTAAAAAGAACTGCTAAAACCCTATGAAGCGGTCCTAAAGGCAGCGCCCGCGTTCATATTGTTTCCACGCCCTCTTTGTATGGTCTACGGACAACTTGAATAATCCCTTAACACATTGGCGACAAGGCGCCTTTTCGCGTGTCTGCCGCGTGGGACGAAGCAATTTTTCCCTATTTTTGAGGAATGCGCATGAATGCTAGAGCGTTTACACACCAAAACACTTGCAAAAGGACTAGTATTCAATGCAGAAGCTAGTAAATTTTTGCTGTTTTTTTACTTTCAATTTAAACCCTTAATTTTCGTGGAATACTCCCGCCCCATACACGCGGAGCGTGGGAAAGAGGTCGCAAAAAAGGAATTTTTTGGCGCCAGAGGCAGTAAATTGGATTCGATCCAGATCTGCTATTGTGAAAGTTACCTTATCACATTAGCTATCTGCATGTGGAGCTTCAGTTCTATTTATCCAAAAATTACCTTTTTTTCCTAAGGAAATCACTTTCCTTTGTATCCTCCGTAAAATACTCCCAATGACACAACTGTTAGTTTTGCAGCTACTGTATATTCTACAATGCCTTCCTGTACAATATGTAGCTGTTGAAAATTTGAAACGTTTTCAAATTGGTTTTTTACCCATGCCGCATCCCAGCAGTGGGACGCAATGTCCCACGCGGCAAAAAAGGTGCGTCCCAGCAGTGGGACGCAATGTCGCCAACGTGTTAATGCGTCGATCATCTCTTTTTCTCTGCACTCTCTCGCCCTTGTTGCATTCTGTGGTCATTGCGACCTTACATATTCCAGCTTTTCACACATGGTAAGTGGCTCACCCACCCCGGAGTCCCCTCCCCTTGAAAAATCCCGCTTCCTGGCTCGCCATACGTTTTTTGCACGTTTCGATGCTTTGGCAGCCGCTGCCCTCTATCCGTCTGCGTCACAGGGTTTCGTAACAGGACCGCAAAAGTTCAAGATGTCACGTACCCTTTTTGTATATCGTAGCTCACCCTATGAGGATGTTGGACGTACTAGTTTCGCAACTCAAAAATGCGAGAGAATAGCCCGCTCGTGAAGAGTCGGCCACCCCGCCCACCTGGCGACCACTACGCCCAACTTCATTTCTAATGGTTGCCTGATGGTGCGGTTGTTCCGCTGCTGCATCTCCACGTCGAGTGGTGAGAGTGAGGTGATAAGGGAAAACAGCTGATATCAACAAGTGAGAACTCGTGCGACCGCACCTTCTCTTCGCCTTGAGCACGTACAACCTCAGCTCGGCGTGGGGTCCTATATAGGGCATATCCGATGATTTTTTTGCATTTTTCTTCACTAGTGAGCTACGTGCTACCTTGTTGTCAGTGTCTAGTGAGCTACGTGCTACCTTGTTGTCAGTGTCTAAGCCCCACAACTCCGAACTGAACGCGAGCGCTGCCTTTAAATTAGGTGCAGTTAGTTGAGGGCTCAGAGAGAATCACAACGGAGCAACGCTGAAAAACTGCTCAGACTTTCACATGGCCTTATGCGAAATTCGGTGACTAGAGAGAGATGAAGCTGCGGTACCTGTTGATCG